TAGCTCAGATCCATTAAATAAAATCGACCACTACAGCTTTTAATCTTGATAATCAATTAAAGGTTCAATTAACTAACAATACCTTGAGAAATACCATTAATGTTATTTACACTGTAAACCCTAAGGTTGACTTTACTTAAACAATTAAGTTAAGTTGACTGAACATAACTTAAAATTTTAGCAGGGATAACTAGATAAACAAGGCGAGGGTAAAAACACAGAAAAACAAGGCAAAGGAAACACGCTGTAATGTCTCGGCAACTGGGGTGAGTGTACGGGCTGCTTAAATAGTGTGTAATCAGTCAGTATGAGGAACATGTGTGTGTGAGCGGAATGCATATATGGAGTTGTAGTCCCTCAAATGGCGGTTTTGTAGTCCGTAAGTATTTATGCATGTATTCCAGCGATCTATGCAGTTTAGATCGCTGGTGATCATGACAAGCCAAAATCATAATTAATCCTTTGAAAAAAAAATTATATTTTCACAAATGTAGTACTAAGTTTGGTGAACTGAAAAATTTAAGTATAGTCTACAAAACCGGCAAGTTAAATAAACTGAAATATGCAAGTTTTGGGAGACTCCATTACTCAATTAAATTGAGGCAACGAGTTTACTCAATTAATTTAGTTCAGTCAACTTATTGGGGTTTTCAGTGTACAACTGTTCATAAACCCCAATCAAATCATTTTTTTTTTAAATTATGCTTGAGTATGTATGCAATAGACAAAACTACAGCATATTTTTTTTAATTAACTCAACCAAAAAATTGCCAAATTATATGACAATTAACAGTAAATTAAATTTTTTATTGAATTTATGAATTCAGTGATTGTGTATTTTTCACATTATGGAAATGTTAGCATTGTGAGTTCATATTAGCTCAGGCCCATTAATTAAAATCAACTGCTACAGCTTTTAATCGTGATCATAAATTAAATGAGGATTAACACTGAGATAAATAAATAAATCATTTCTCATGAATGAACCAATGTTAACGAATGAAACCTCCTATTGTAAACGGTAAAGTATTATCTGACTGCTAAATGCAATAACTGACCTGGCTTAAAATGTGATCAGTGACATAAATCATTACAAGTGATGCATTGCAAACACTCTCGATTAAATTTTTCAGTGCACCCCAGATAACAAATATTCCAGTAAATTCACATATTTGCAGTTTAAAACAAGGGGACGTCTTGTATTATGTTGGCTGTCAGCTGTTGTAAATCTCTCAGATAAGAGCTTTGCGTGTAAACACAGCTCACAGAAGTGTTACAGCTGTACCAACACTCACAGATCAACATGAAGAATGACAGTACAGTTAAATGGAGGAAACAGATTTAAGCAGATAGTTCGGTTCTAAGCAGGTCATCAGTGTAAAAACATTGTGATGTAACTCTTTTTGTGTGTGTGTGTAAATAATGAGCCCTTTAAATATTGGTGCTTTGTGTTTGCAAATAAGGTAGTAAGTGTGGTTCATGTAACATAGGCCCATTCTGAAAACGTAGCGCTATATACATTTCTGGAAATTGTGAATTATGTAGCCAGAAGTACATATGGCTGCATTTTGTCTTTAAAACAAATGCTACAAGGTGGTATAACGCTGTTCCTTTTCACGCTTACCAGCTGACCGCTTACCTCCGTATGGATGGCTTTACCAGTTTGTCCAGTAGCTCACTATGTACGTTGATGGACTTAAGGTGCAAAGAGGAGTTGACGGGGTTCGAGTCCAGCAAAGAACAGTTCCAGAAAGCGAGTAAGACAAAAACAGAATCCAAAAAATAAAATAAACTAGTAAATAATAGGGTAAGAATGTGGTAAAAACTAGGTGAGGGCTTTTCTTTTTCAGGATTGCTTTTGAAAACACTGTGGGTTGGGTTTAGGGATGTGGGTGGGCAGATCAATCTGTGCTTTTGGAAACACTATTGGCTGGGTTTAAGGAAGGATGGGTGGGTTAAACAGCGGCCTCTGGTTTATTTACATGAGAACAGCAGGTGCGAATGGCACTCGCAAGAGAAATTTGACATCTGAAAAAGCATACACAGCGCCCTCTGGTGGATTGGGAAAAACAAAAACTGCAAAAAAATAAAAATAAAAATAAAATGTACCTGCTGGGACGTATTTGGCGCTCTCCAGAAATGTATATAGGGGCACGTAATCAGAATGAGCCTTGGTTGGTTTTGTGTGTTTTGGCCATGGTGTGTTCTCATACAGCTGAATGAAACATCTGCCGGCTGAGCCCAATGTTTGGGCTCCGTCACATTAGCGTTCCTGCACCCAGCCTGAACATGCTGCAAAGCTCCATGCTTCTGCATGAGTGCCTATGTGTGTGTGTGTGTGTGTCTCTCTGTGTTTGTGTGTGTGTGTGTGTGTGTGTGTGTGTGTGTGTGTGTGTGTGTGTGTGTGTGTGTGTGTGTGTGTGTGTGTGTGTATGTGTGTGTGTGTGTGTGTGTGTGTGTGTGTGTGTGTGTGTGTCAGCAGAGGTGGATGATATAATAATAAATGAAAAAATTTGGCACACTAAATTGTATTTCAATCACCTCAACTGACTAAATTTTGGAAAGGAGAATTATAAAGACACATTTCTGCAAAAACAGAAGTCCTACTTGTTAAAATTCATGGCACAAGCGCACATTTTTAAACATTTTTTGCTAAACAATTATCTTTTTTTAAAACAATGATAATTTTTTGCTATACACAATAAACAATTATTTTTTGCTATACAAAAATAATTTCTGTATAGCATTGCAATCCACAAAAATACACACATTTTCTTTTCTGTTCTATATAAAATAACATAAAACATTTCAGTCGTGTGTGGGTATAAATTCTTCATTTTACTTCTATACATATACATTTGTTAATTAATTAATTTATTAGTTTGATTACAAGGGAGTGTAAGAATAAATAATTTGTACTTTGAATGCCAAATAAGCTTATTTAAATACAGGATTATTGTGTAATTTGTAGATTTATCAATATTTTGTATCACATTACACATTTAAACAAAAGAAAACTTATGTTTTAATAAAAAAAAGTGATTCTAAAAAGATGATTTCAAATAATTAATAGCAATTTAGGTAAAAAATAATATTAGCAATAATAATAATTAAGATAATAATAATAATAAAAATAATAATAATAATTATTATTTTGTTTAGCATTTACACTTAAAATTTGTTAATTACATAATAATAACTATAATAAAAATAATAATAGGAAAATTAATAGTAGTAGTAGTAATATTAATATTAATAATAATAATAATATTAATAATAATAATAATTTAACACTCGACAAGTTGGTCCAATTAATTATTTAATAATAATAATAATAATAATAATAATAATAATAATAATGATAAATAATATTTAGCACTTAACAAGTTGGTAAAATTCCTTAAATTATTTAATAAAAATTATAATAATAATAATAATAATATTTAATAATAATAATGATAATGATGATGCTAAAATGAATAATAATAACAACAAAAACAATAGTAGTAGTAGTAGCAGTAAATATAATAATTTAACACTTGAGAAGTTGATTAAATTGATTAATTTATTATTTAATAATAATAATAATAATAATAATAATAATAATAATAATAATAATAATAATTCAACACTCAGCAATTTGGTTAAATTTCTTAATTAATTATTTAATAATAATAAAAAATAAAACAATATTAATAATAATATTTTTGTTTAACTTAAGAGTATTTACACTCGACAAGTGATTTAATTTACTAATTACATAATAAAAATAACTATAATAATAATAGTAGAAGTAATAGTAGTAGTAGTAATAATGATAATAATAATAATAGTAATAATGAAAATAATAATAATAATTTAACACTCGACAAGTTGGTTAAATTAATTATTTAATAATAATAATAATAATATTTTAGAACTCAACAAGTTGGTTAAATCCCTATTTAATTATTTAATAATAATAATAATAATAATAATAATAATAATAATAATAATAATAATAATAATGATGATGATGATGATGATAATAATAATAATATTATTAATAATAACAAAAACAGTAGTAGTAGTAGTAGCAGTAAATATAATAATTTAGCACTCGAGAAGTTGGTTAACTTAATTAATTTATTATTTAATGATAATAATAATAATTTAACACTCAGTAATTTGGTTAAATTCATTAATTAATTATTATTTAATATTATTATTAGTAGTAGTAGTAGTAGTGGTAGTAGTAATAATGATAATATTTTGACACACAACAAGTTGGTTAAATTCCTTAATTAATTATTTAATAATAATAATAATAATAATAATAATAATAATAATAATAATAATAATAATAATAATAATTTAAAACTCAACAAGTTTGTTAAATTAATTAATTAACTAATAATAATAATAATAGTAATAATAATAACAAATCAAAATAATAGTCATAATAATAATAATAATAGTAGTAGTAGCAGCACTAATGATAACAATTTAGCATTCAACAAGTTTGTTAAATTCATTAATTAATTTTCGAACAATGATAATAATAATAATAAAATAATGATAACAATAATAAAAATAATAATAATAAAATAATAATAATAATAAAATAATAATAATAATAACAACAATAATAATAACGAAAATTTTGTTAATTGTATGAATAATAATAATTTATCTTTAACACTTGACAATTTGGTTAATTAATTATAAATAAATGACACATATATGTTTGTCTTAAAATTGACAAAATGTGTTTACATTAATCTAAATCAAATGGTAATAATACTTTTTAATGACATTTATGTGAATATGTTTATGTATGTGAACTGTATAATATAATGCATTATACATCACCCACCCCTACATGTGAGAATGTCTTTTTTCTGCTATATATTATGTGAGCTGTAATATTCTTCCTGCAAAAGCTCTGATAGCAGGCACATTCAACAGTACAGGCTTTTCCCTGTTTAGTGGCGTGCATGCAAGACAGCGGATTCTCTTACCTGCTTCCGTGTCCTTGTCTTCCCGGTTCTGAGTTTAATGTATCGGGCAATCAGCTCGTTTCGACCTGAAGGAAAACAAAAGATGAGAAGTGTTAATGTAAATGCTGCTCACAATACAATCAGGTCTGTTTTGACAATTGAAGATGGATTATAATATATGTAAGAACTGTCTTACTTCATGGTCATGTGTTCAATATAACTTTGCAGACGATATAAAAAAAAAAGTCTTAAAAATTTTTAGCAAAAATAAACATTTTTAAGAAATCTTTTATACCGTCTGCTATTATTATGTTGAACACATGACAATGAAGTAGTTTAAATGTTATTCTGTTTGTGGTTTTATAGCCAGGGTTGTGTGTTGGTAATCTATGCTGTGTTTGTGCTTTGTGGTTGTGTTTTGTATTTGTAATGTGTGGTGATGTTTTGTAACATTTTGTGAAGTCAATGACGAATTTCCACATGTGTGGACAATAAAGACTTCTAATCTTTGCAAACGTTTTGAGAACCATGAAACTTCCTTTTTCTGTTTTTTTACAGTTGTTTACAAGCAATTTGGAAAAAAAATATCATCCATTTAATTCATTCATCCATTTAAAGCAATGGAGGAGGTATTGAGTGATTCAACAAGAAGAGGCAATACACACAAGAAGTGCTAATAGTACAAATAAACTCTTTCGACAGGTGGTTTGTCAAGCCCACTAACCTGTGCGAAGCATACTTCAAAATTGCACATTTTAATCCCTTTCTCCACAGCTATGAAGAACTATGAAGAACAAACCTTTTCTATTTTACAAACCTGGGACCCTTTCTTTGATTACTTAGTCTCTAAGGCCGTACTCGCACTATGTACAGTTGCCTCGAACTGGGCCAAAGCACGCTAGTCCCCCTCCCGTCTCCCCCGACAGCCCGCACTCACATTACAATCGGGCATGGGCACGCTTACGTCATTGATGCTGCCCTCTTCAGTACGCGCTCTCGCTCAGCGCAGTGGAGATTTCTCTAGTTATATCGTTTCAGTCGTTTGATATGCAGTGACATGCAGTCAAATATTTCACCAAACAGTCCTTAGGGATGCGGTGACACGCAGTCAGATATTTCGCCGAACAGATCCGCCACTTTTGGCGCTCATAAACAATAATAAAGCTCTCGTACTGCAGGAATGAGGAGGTCTGCTGAAGCCGCGTAGCTGTCTTGCAGGTTTGCCTCTTTAATAAACTACGGCAGTTTGCGTTCATTGAACAGTAAGATTGATTACTAAATCCATATGAAACAGTCCCTTAAAAGTCACGTCTCGCTTTTAGTTTCGGGCTTTGGCGCGTTTTGTGAACCGTCTTTGAGCCCGATTCAGCGCACTCACACTTCTCAAACGATCCGAAAACAGACCTGGGCATGGTACGGATGGCATAGTGTGAGTAGGCCCTAAGACTAAAAGTTTGTTTGTTAAAAAAAATGTATATGTCTTTTTGCTTTTTGTAATATAATTGTGTAATTTATGTAAATTGTTTTAATTTAGTTTGTTTATTTAATTACAATCATATTTTATTTATTTATTATTATTATTTTTTTATATATATATTTTCATGTGGAGGTCAGGATTCAATTTACATGTATGATGGATTACTTAATGTAATTTTTCATGTTTTTCATGCACTAAAAATGTTCAATTAAAATATATATTTTATTCTGCATCCTGATTGGCTGTGGACCATTGTCAATCAATCTCCAGTGTGTCTCCTGTACAGCACATAATGCGTTCAGCTTGCCAAATTAACACAAATCTTCGATCGCTAGCAGTGTGAGTTCCAACATCGTAAAGCAGGTCGCACACCGAATGTGCCACGCCACGAAGCACCATGCATTTTTGAATTGTAAACATAGGTTTATATCAGGGTACGCACAGCGGCGCCACAAATTGGATGTTGTCTGCAGTGCCCAGCTATGACTCAGGGCAACGTTTATATTTCTGCTGCATCACAAAGCGCCATCGGAATATAATTAAAACTGTCATGTGACCAACGCATCCAGTGTGCGACCTCTTATAGATGGAGTCTGCTTTAGTTTTGTGAATAAACGACATTATGCTGGATGCCAACATTAGCCCCTTTCACACATACAGACCTTTCCGGAAAATTGCCGGCAATTTTCCGCAAAGGTTGTATGTGTGAACAGGTCCTTTATGAAAATACCGGTAAATTTGTTCTGGCTATTTTCTGGAAAGAGAAGTTGTAACATTACCGGCAATTTGCCGGAATGCTGCGCTGTGTGAATGCAGAAGGAAGATTCCTGTAATAGGCGCGTGCACGTCTAGATCGTGCTGACGTGAGACGTCTGCTTTAGCCAATCACAACAGTCAGACGCATTTACGTCCGCACGGTTTGTGAGGATAAAAGCCTTTGAATATTTTTCCAGACACATTTAGCTGCTAGAAGTTAGTCAGATCACATTTATATGTTCTTCTTAATGCCAACTGTGTAAATAATCATCGATGAGATGCTTATGATAAGCCGTTGTTTGTTTACGTTCGTGTGCCTGTGAAACAGCCTGTGAGCGCCAGCACACGCACATATTATGAACATCTCGACATGCGAAAGTGATCCTGAGAAAGTTGTTCACAATATTGATCATCCACAGAGTTTGTAATTTAGTCAAATGTTTACAAATACAAGCGCAGCCATTTAAAGCTCATTTGTGGTGAATGATGTCAGAATTTACCGGTATTTTGGAATGGATGTGTGAATGCTCTTTTCCGGAAAATTTCCGTAACGTCCTCGCCTGTGTGAACAGCGCTTTTTTGAATATACCGGTAAAGTCGTTCCGGAAATTTTCCGGATATTTACCGGTATCACTGTGTGAAAGGGGCTAGTATCTGCACAAGCTTTATGAACCTTTTGCTGGCATCGATGAATGTTTGCGTCTGACAACAGGTTTTAATCTTTGATTTCATTCTACAATACTGGTCTTATTTTTCTACGAATGTTTGAACTTTGAGAGTGTTTAATCAAGAGAGAAAAGTGTAAAAATGTTAATGCCTGCCTGAGAAAAGTGTATAAAGTGTGTAGTGAGGGGTTTTACAGCCTTAATACATCTATAATAACTGTAAAAAATAAAGCTGACTACAGATTTTGCCTATTGCGGGTTATTTTTATAATGCAACTCTCACAATTAACGAGGGACCACTGTATTCTAATAATATTTCAAAATCAGTATTACAAAATCGGTATCACTGGATCAGTAAAAATCAGTATTATTTATTCAGTGTTCAACCGTACAAGCTAAAGATTAACATTTTGTGGCGAGATGGATGCTCTTTAATGTTTATTTTTCTCAAGTGCCACTAGGGGGGCGCTGCTCCGACCGGTCCTTCCTATCGCTTCCAGACAATACTTCCGGGGGTCGGGAGGAAGCGGAATGTCAGGTAAACAATCGGAGATTATAAAAGAGGGAGAAAAGGCCAGAGAAGGGGCTTCTTGTTGTTTTGGTGTCGTTCCTTGTATTTGGTGGTAAGAATTGGAGAAGGAGGAGAAGAACGGTGTAAGGTGGAGAGCTTGTTGGTTTCAATGACTGTGTGAGGAAAAAAACTGAGGGGTGGAAGCAATTCGTGGACGTGGTGACCAGGCGATTTCTCTAGTATTGCGTGCAAGGGGTCTGAAATTCTGATGGGAAAAGTGGACCTGTGCAGAACGGCTTCGGTGTCCCTGGGTCAGTAACTTTTGTCCATTTGCATCCATTCATACACCCACACATTCCACACACACATTACAACGTTATCACATAGGCTTTCTTTACATTTTTTTTCCCTCTCTTGTTTCCATTCGATCAGCCACACATTATTATTGTTTGTTTGTTTGTTTTCTTTTGGGTTATCTAAACATTATTATTGAAGTGTTTGAATTGTTTGTTTGTTGATTCCTTTTGTTGCCTAAAAAGTGTTAATTTTGATTATAGATCTATGACTAAACAGTTATGAAAAGTATATTTTGATTTAGAAAACCTTTTCATTGTAATGGTTGTTAAAATATAACAGTTGATTTAATTTAAAGTGTGTGTTGGGTTATCTTTATTTTCTTCTCTTTGTGTGTATGGTGGTTGAGTGTTTGCCGCGGCTATCCAGGGTTTAAATTTAGTTTTTGGCAAGTTAATCTTGTCTGGCGCCCAAAGATTTATTAATTCTGGTAACTATTTACTTTTTTTTTTTTGTTTGAGGTCCGCTGGCAGTGGGATTAAGGGACGTGTGAAAGCCAGCTAGTGCAGTACCCACGTGGACCAGCGGTTGAGCGTTCGGCTGCGGGGGACGTGTGAAAGCCAGCTAGTGCAGTACCCACGTGGACCAGCGGTTGAGCGTTCGGCTGCGGGGCAGGAGGTCCCGTGTTCGAATCCCGCGGAGTTCAGTTTTTTGAGATTTGAATTATTATTTTTTTTTCCTTATTATAAACTGTATATAAGATTTATTTATTACAAACAACCACCGTCACAATTTTTTTAAAAATAATTTGTCTTGACCTGCAAATACATCAACTTAAAAATTGCTTACAGCAGCAAATGCTGTAAGCAAAATGATTCGCCTGTCAGATGTGGCGCACACTCTCGATTTAGCTTGTTCATAAAAAAAAAATTGTGATCTGGCGCTATATAGAAAATACAATTAACTTGACTTCAAGGGTGGCGGGGAAAGCTGTTGGGAGGGCAGGGCGCCCCCCTAATATAATGGTAAGGGAAACACTGGTGTTACACATTGTATCTCATATCATTGTAAATAATAGTTCTTTAAGAAATTCATGTGTAACTTAAACTTTCAAGAAGCTTCATGTTTTAAAAGAATAATAAAAGTCACTTCAATAATAACATGGAATTATTACTCAAATACAAAAATGAAACACTTTATAGCACAACAAATACATACAATAGTTTTGAATGCATTTTCAATTACGCTAATCAAAGAGCAAATGCACAGCCGTGCGTTTATATGCATGAGCCAAAATTTCAACAGCTTCGATTGTTCCAGCGTGTCGGCAACAAGTAACAATCTTTACTCCTGTGAATGAACAAACACGGCTAATTTAAATGAAAACTTGGCCGGGCCCGCTATTACCATGAAAATAGCCCGACAGCACTACAGCCTTTCAATTTAATCTAATTTAATCCCAATTTCTTCAAAGCCTCACGCTATGAAAAGAAACAGATCCAGACATTCATATGGTTACAGCACGCAGTGGCAGAGGAAACATATTCATTTAACACACTACTGTTCTCGCTAAATAATAATTAAAGCATGGTTTTGTAGTGATCTCCAATTAATGGCAGCTCTACACATTCTTGCGCCCTCGGCACTGCTCTAATTACTGATGCAAGGCACAATGACCCCTGCTTAGCCTTTTCATATGTTAATAACATACCGCCACCCCAAAACTATTACGCAAATTATAGGTAAGGAGCCACTCTAATTATGTGTCCAGCTGTAGCCAACGGTTGCCATAGAGCCCTCTTTTTTTTTTAAATCAGGGCTGTGTAATAAAACTAGCTTTTTAAACAGGCGACCGCACAATTGATGTAGCGACAATTTATTGTGTGTCCAACCACTTTGCTTTGGAACAACATTAAATGGTATTTACTTCCAAATATAATTTGCATAAAGTAAAACAAAATGCTGAATAGAAACACATGAAGTTCTTTTTGGGCAAAAATACAAATTTGTACATAACTATGTCCTTACAACATT